CTTGGTAGCATTGGATATTCTAGTAAATGTAGTGATGGATTGAACAATAATAAGGATTCATGCAACCGACTCCAAATTCACAGAGAATAAGGTTTAATTTGTTGTTGAGGAATTGCTAAGATACTGCTTTTTTCGTACTAATTGTGAACTCTTTTCTGTTTTCACTGTTGTGTGTTTTTATCCTTGGTAATAAGGATTCATGCAACTGACTCCAAATTCACCGAAACTAAGGTTTAATTTCTTGTTGAGGAATTGCTAAGATACTGCCTTTATTGTACTAGTCGTGAACTCTTTTCCGTTTCACTGTTGTTTGTTTTTATCCTTTTGGAAAATTTGTACTAGTTGACGGAGTGGTGGTTACAATAATAAATAAGACAATTTGTTTGCCCACTTTTTGGGTTCTCAAGAATTTTGATTTTCAAGTGATGTATCATGTACACATGGTATATGTGGCTGCATTATCTGACTGCTGGCTTTGCTGTTTTTGGTAGGAGTGGATGTTAGCATGAACACACATTTGAAGACGGTGAAACTGACACTGAAAGGGAAGAATCCAGTTACTCTTGATCATCTAAGTGTTAGGGGTAACACCATACGCTACTATATCCTTCCCGACAGCTTAAATCTGGAAACTTTGCTTGTTGAAGAGACTCCTAGAGTGAAGCCCAAGAAGCCTACTGCAGGTAATGGATTTATTGCCCTAATTCCAGTTTCTTACATATGGAACCTACATAAATATTTCTCCTCACATTTTACTGGTTGTAATCTTTTATATGTTTCTGTAAACTATAGGGAGACCTTTGGGACGCGGTAGGGGAAGAGGACGTGGACGTGGTCGTGGCCGAGGCCGTTAAATTATTATCTGTTATTTTCTAATATTTAGAAAATCTGGATATCTAGACGCTTACTATAAGAACTTTCTGTTTAAAGCTTGGATTATGTAAACAAATCATTTTCAACATCCGTCTGTCTTCTGAATTGCTATGCTTAAAAGAGGTTACGTAATATATGCGAGTTTTTTTTTATGTAGACTTGTTATTTTATCTTCCTTATCGTTTCTTTGAGTTTTGGTACTTATCAAAGGGTCTTGTGCATTATTTTGATCTCATGTTTGGTCCTAATTTTTAAAACTCGTTTCATTAAATTTTATCAAAATTTACTAAAAATTAATTT